CAGGTTTCACAGACACAGCATCAACAGTGAGCCTCAAAGCAGCTTTTTCCTTCGCATACATACAAAGTTACACTCCAGTACAACTGCATCAACAGTGAGCCTCAAAGCAGCTTTTTCCTTTACATACATGACAAAGGTACACTCCAGTACAACACTCGAGACAACAGAACAACATTGGAAAAGGAACAGCAGGTAACAAAGTGCAGGAATGTAGCCTACTTTACACACCCATTGTCATTTCATTTTGACTGCTCTTAGTGTCAAGACAGACAAACACCATTTTAAAAAGGTACGTACGGCAGAGTCTTACAATGAGCAGTCGAATTGTCGGCACAATAGTATTATCCATTTTTTCCAAAGTTGAGAAAATCCTACACTGGCAAGAAAAGCGCCCAAAGAGTACATCGAAGTGTAATGATACAAATAACACATACATATCAACAATATAAATCTGGGACAACCATGTGAAGCAATTTTGACATTATAAAATGCTGTTACAAGGATTTCAACAACGGATGCCAAAAATTGTATAAAATACACAGAAAGGCAATACATGCCTTTGTGCCAATACCAATAAAAGTTGAACAAATGTTGCTTTTTTCAACAATAAAATATATAAATACATTAACACTGCCCTGTTGAAGCAAGAAAGCCAAGGCTGATTAGTTATTTTACTATTATATTTCTTTATACATGATCATACTGATATCTAAAATATTACTGAATTTAAATCAAGCAAAAAAACCCAACCCAACCTGATTCTAATTCATATACAGAAAACATTGGTATCATTTTAAAATAATATAATCTGATATTCTTTCATGACTGTATAAAATTTGCTTTGAAACTTCATAAGGATCTGATAAAAGCAGCCATTGAACACTGAGAATAAAACATTAAAAATTTAAGAAAAAAAGGTATGTATGGTACCCTTCTTTTTGAAACACAGTTGGGTTGTTTAACAAAAGGCAGGACCTCTGATCCTGACCTGACATCCATCTCTGCCAGCTCTGAGCTAAGTCATGAGTGGAAGGAGAGCCTCAAAAACTCCCCCAACAACCCACATGAAAAAAGATTGCCCCACGCTGGACATTTGAACACAAGCCATTCGGACCACATTGTTTTAGTTAGTGTTTTGCTGCACTCGCAACACAATAAGGTCATTATAAGTGCCGAGGATTAGAGGTGTTACAAGAGAATAACAAACACAAAAAAAGAAGGAGGGGAGATAAAGACGATAGATGTTTGATAGGAAAGAAGAAGCAAATCACACCAAAGCACCCGCCAACCACCCACATTCGAACCACAGAGTGACGTAATATCATGTGAGCTGACAGAGTGACCCCCAAAATATGCGAGGCGTGCCGACAAAATGAGTTACTTCTCGGAATCAAAGTATAGCGATATCGGCCAAAAATTGACTCAAGGGTCATATTTGTAGATTCTAAACCAATGCCATTCTCTTCAAGTTTAGCATGTCTCTTATCATTTCTTACTAAAGAATTGTAAAAACTCAACCCTATAAATTTGACGCATGTCTTTCCATCGGGCTAAATCTGAGAAGTAACATATATTGTGAGCACACCTCACATACAGAGAAAGCCAACAATTGCATCGATGGGCAAAGTTGTACAACTAAAAAAAAAACAAGCACCCCCCCCCCCCCAGAATTTATAATAAAGAAATGAGCTTGAGCCATACACGAAAATACAGCAAAAAACGTAATGCGGGTTACATCATTACCTCAAAAATGCTATAAATTTAGGGAACCTTTTTTAAGAATGTCATACAAACAGGTCGAACAACAGGTAAAACAGTTCTTTGCCTATCAAAGTACCTCTACACGCAATAATGATCATAATAAAAAAAAAGATTTATTAAAAAATTAAAAATTCACCTTTAACATTGTCAACGGTCAGCTGATTCCCTCTCATTCCTCCTCTGAAGTTACAGTATTCATTTACGGTATTTATTTTAAATATTTATAAAAATAATTAAGTGATATTTTGATAAGAATCTGCATTTTGGTTATTTCTTGTGAAATGAGCTTATCACTAAGCATCACAGTTCAGTGTACGTTAGATCTATGTTTCAAAATTATAACAGGTTGCTAACAGAAATTTATAAGTCATTCGTCCATGAACACTATTAAAACTAATGCTATACCATAACGAAAAAGCAGCTTTTTGAACTACCAGTAAAAATTAAATGCAAACACAAAACCTACAGCTCAGTACATCAAAAAGTGTCAGAATAAAAGCAAGTAATACATTTAACACAATCACATTCTATGGCCACCCATCCATACAGAGACATAAATGTAGATTAACAGACAGACAGACAGACAGACAGTTAAATAGATAAGGTATATACCCATTGCAAAGTAAATATAATTTCTTGCTCCAAATGAAAGCTTAGCTTGAATACCACGTTTAGAATGTAGGCTACCACAGCTACCAGTGAATATTTTCTGGGACGTAGAAGGAATGTTGTACTGAGGTTGCACTGTGTGATGACTGCACATACCAGTGAACCAAAAAAACATTTACCCACGCAAAGTTATAAGCTTTCCCGCCGGTAAAGGTTTTTTTTTGGTCAGTGGGTAGAGTTTATAATACTTTTACAGGCCTGAGAAGACACGGAGATAGCGTCAACAGCTGATTAACAACAGTAACCCACTCAAAAATAAGCAACATAAGGAAATATCTAGTCAGAGTCATTCCACAATCGCATCAAATCAATTTCTGGCAATTTGCAGATAAAGCCGACATTTGAATCAAGAAATGAATGGACTTCTTACAATATGTATCATGTCATGGAGGAATCAGGCGATCGTCAGTTTTTGGGCAAATGGAGTTATTGATATCTTAAAGCTTATTCATTTTTCTTGCTTTCGATGACAAAAATATATTTACCTATTCTGAATAGAAGTCGTGATATTAAAAGTGAAGGAAGTAGGGTTTGCCTGGTGTCACATGTAAAATTAGTGGGAGAATGGCTGCCAAAGTTTGGTGACTTCCTTGAGAGTGTCTGGTAACAGCAAATTTACACTTTGATCTAAGTTTTTTTAGTAAAATCCTCACAGAAATGGGTTTTTTTTAAAATAGGCTATAAAAGGCGATAAGCCCCCCCCCCCCCCCCCCATTTAATAAAAGTTAAATTGCCCAACATACAAAAAAAGTTGGTTTCTTCAATTTCATTATTTTGACGAGCGACTGGTTCCACCACAATGTCCCATCTGTAGAGTTTCCCGTGGATTCCTGTCTGTGTCATTTTCCACAGGAGGCCTTTTCTCCATACCCCGTCGTAGGCTTGCTGGAGATCAATGAATACTGCAACAATGTCACACCGTTCTGTTTCGCTATTTCATTCCTACTCTTCACTTGAAAAATACTGAGTGCCTAAGTCATGGTTCTGATTTGGGTGCTCTCTTTTTCTTGTACCATATTCCCCCCAAGAATTTGAGCTAGTTTCAGAATGCTATCATGTCTGCTGGGGAAATAAAATAGATTGTAAAGCCCATAGAGCTTGCTGTTGAGTAGGAATTTGTGCAATAAAAATGCTATCTATTATTTTATTTTTCCAAAACTTAAAAAAAACCCTGATGTAACCACTTGGGGAATGACTCTGAAAATCAAGGGCAAAAGATTATAACAAAGAGGTGCACATAAAATAAGCACAAATTGACTGAGACACTGCTAGTATCTCAACAGGTAAGGCGTCTGACAATGATGCAAATGAATGGTGTTTCAATCCTTACTCCGCCTTCTTGAATTCAAGTTGTTTTGAGAGTGTGTCACAAGACTTCAAAAAAACTATAAAAAACAGGAGCATGCAGCTGACAAAATCAAATTTGTCTCAGGTCCAATGACAAACCCTGGTGGTATTTCTAAACAAAACTACTTCTCACCTAAATTTGATTTTTTAATGAATAAAATGGTAGACTCTTAACAACAAATATTTTCAACATGGAAAATCGAACACACATCTTGTGAAATTGAAACTTCAGACATTAAAAATTTCCTGACAATTTTCAGTAAAACTTAAAATACCAGTACCACTAAATATTATGGACTGATTAGAGGATTTCACCAGCTTAACATTGTTCAGCAGGCAAGCATACATTTAAAAAACATCAAACAAAGACAATTCAGCTGGGTCCCTGAGTATATAAAACAAGCATGCACATATACATTTTGCATTACAGTATAACGTTGACAAATGCCTGTGCTTAATTAAGAACAACACACTTTTAACAACAAACTTGCGACAGCGAGGTGCCTAACCATTACACCACAAATGCCCGTGCTGCTACCCTGTATGACTCCAAAGGATGACGTAGATAAAAATCTTAAAATACGCCAGCTTGGCCAGTTATTGTGAACCCACACAAGCCTTTCAAGGGAAGCGACACAAGAGGACAAACTATCACTAAAGCCATTTCCTGAAACTGCAGTAAAACGAAGTAAAACACGTAAGGCGCAAACGATGATAACAATGTTGAAAAGATTCTAAACAGTGACAGAGCTGGCAGGGAGTTTGTGTGTCATTCTTTTAGTCATTAGAGGAAGGTTGCTGCTAACAAAAAAACCCAAATCAACTCATTCAATGCTGAGCGCTCCAGCAGTGAACTCCCCTCATATACTGAGCAGTTTTGTTATGGCAACATAAAATGAGGTCATCCCAGGAAAATCAATCAAAACTAGCGAGCCTCCTTGACCTTTCCCATAATGCATCATGATTAGTTCAAATAACCTGGTATGGATTAGATAGAATAATTCTTTCTATACAGATAGCGAGGCAGAATGCGAGAATACTTGTTGCTAGTATGTGGGAGGGGCCCAGGTTTCGCGAGTATTCTCGTCTACAGCACTGAATGAGTTAACAATGGCTCTATCACTGCTTATAACTTTTTTTGCAGCACATTATCATCTCTGCGTTACGTGTTTTACTGCAGTTTCAGTTTTCAGGGAATGGCCCACTATCCCTTTTCTTCTAACTCATCGCTCTCTTTCTCCTTGACTAAAAAAACCCACAAAACTGTGAGGAATGTATAGACAACTTAAAATTGGGAGTAAAAAATAGGAATGCTTTTTCTCATTTTTTTTCACTCAGCAAGCAAGGAGCTGAACTTGCTGATGCATCAACATAGTAGCAAAGAGAACAGAAATCATGCAGAAATATTCCTTTAAATCATAACATTAACCCTTTTGAGCAATGTGTTCTGCATACGGCACTACTTCAAAGACAAAAAGAATGGGATACCGGTGCACATTAGACGAGAAATGGTTAAATAATGATATTGCATGAATTTTAAATAAGCCATAAATATCAATGAATGGGGGTGCTGCTCTGTGATTTGGAAAAAAAAAGCTTGGATATATCTTTCATTTTTATCAAATCAAGGTTGAAGAGATTTTCACATGTTCAAAGTGATAGTTAACTTGTACCAAAAGGTTTGACTTACATTCAATGCTATTTTTCAATGAACCTATTTGATTTTTCGAGATAACCAAACTCAAGTACTAGTAGTCCACTCTTGAGAAACGAGTTCGAGAGGAGATAAAAGATAAAACATTTTGAAAAGTCATGCTAGCATTGATGTCCCATCAGTTGTTTCTAATGAGTCGGCAAAATAACTGCTGCATTCTGACAAAAACGAAAAAGAATACAAGAAAAGAAGGAGAAGGAGCAAACCCACATAAAAAACACCCACCAGCCACCCGCTTGGTGCTGACAAAAATGCGGTAGGCAAGGATAAAAAAAATCTTCAGTTCTGGGACACCCTTCTATAGATGGCAAGCCTAAGTCGGTAGAACCCGTATATAAGTAGTTGGATGATCGGCATGATGACAAATCCGACCAGCAAGACGTACCCGACAGTGGGTCCCGGCTTCCCCCAGTCGAGGATCGGGTACATGACATGGGAGTGGTCGTCGACCCAGTAGAACAGGGAGAAGGCCATGTAGATGAGGCCGTAGATGATGGGGTAAATGACGTGGAGAATCCGCACGGGCAGCGCCGTCACCGCGTGTTCGAGCAGGACAAGAACGCTGTTCACCAGGTGGAGCTGCACGTTCTCCATGTCGAAGTGAAGGCCCGAGCCCGGGAACAAAATACACCAGAACACGATGGTCACCATGATGGCCGAAACGCTGACTGCGTTGAAGATGACCCACAGGAGGGCAAAGTACCACGGGACGCGGTTACTGCAACGGATAGGAAGATAAGTACTCAATTAGAACACAAATTGGCTAACTACAAAATTTGATTTACAGTGGACTTCACATGAAATGTCAAGAGAACTATCAGAGAGTGATGCACAGAAAGTGGAAAGACATTGAATGAATCAAGAAACTAGCCAACGATAGGGAAAAGTGGAAAGTGTTTGTCCATGGCTTATACCCTGATCCTGGGGGAGAAATGCGGATATGATGGCTTTCACTTACCTATCACAGACCAGTCTTGTGTAATCCCTCTCAGAGAGTGAACAAGCTCAAAACCCCTTTTGTTGAATTTCTTCATAACTTTTTATAAATCAAAATCAGTCAGGTTGTTTCCTTCGACAATTCCAAAATATCTTTGATAAAATGAACACTTCTCCGCTTTCCAAAACATCTTTAATTGCATTTAACTTTTTTTAACCCACATCATCATTTGAGGTTAAAGATATACATTCTTCAGGGAAAAACAAACGTGCATTTTGCAACAAAAAAGGAAAAAAAAAGAATAAAAATCCAGCTTACCCGAGTTCAAAGTTCACTTCATCACTTGAGGTCAAAGACATACATTCTTCAGGGAAGAAAAAAACAGTGCATTCTTCAAGAAAAAAGAATAAATAAAAATCAAACCTGCCCAAGTTCAAAGTACATGTCATCACTCGAAGTCAACGGCATGCATTCTTCAGGGAAGGAAAAAAACCCTGTTCATTCTTTAAGAAAAAAGAATAAAAATCAAGGAAAAAAAGAATAAAAATCAAAACTACCCGAGTTCAAAGTGCACGTCGTCACTCGAAGTCAACGGTGTACGTTCTTCAGGCAAGAAAAAAACAGTGCATTCTTCAGGAAAAAACAATAAGAAACCAGGAAAAAAGAATTAAAAAACAGGAAAAAAAAATTTAAAAACGAGGAAAAAAAGAATAAAAATCAAGCTTACCCGAGTTCAAAGTGCACGTCGTCACTCGACGTCAGCGGCGTGCGTTCCTCGGGATCCTGCGGGAATCCTTCGTAGGCGTTCCCCAGTTCGTGGAAGAGGTACCTGTGTTGCTCCGGCGCCAATCTACGCATCAGCTGGAGGCCCGAGCCCCGACACAGGAGGTACACAACTAGGGCGATCAGTGCGTGCAGCAAGAAGTAGATGGTCAACAGAGTGTATGTCCAGTTGGTCAAGAAAGAGCCCCATGTCTAAAAAAAAGAAATAATAATGATAATAGAAATAATAATAATAACAATAATAATATTAATGATAATAATGACAACAACAACAACAATAACAATAATAAGGACAACAACAGCAATAACAATAATATTGATATTAATATTAATAATAATAGTAATAATAATAATAATAATAATAATAATAATAATAATAATAATAATAAATAAATAATAATGATAATAATAATAACAATAGTAATAATAATATAATAACAGCAAGAATACTAATAATAATGACTGCATTTACGTAGCGTATGTCCACGCTCTACAGCAAGCTCTAAGCGCTTTACGATTATTTAAAACAAACAAAAATGACCGACTGCGATTGATTTGACCGATATTTTCAGCCCCGACCAACACTATTTAGACCATTCACGAGATGGATAGCTTGGTCCACGCCTATCAAGAGGCTGGCATTGGAGAAAACCACTTCCCTGCAGACAAAAAGCCACACTCTAGAACAAGAATGGGCTTTTTTTAGCTTTAGTAAAAGTTTTACGCCACTTGCAAAACAATAAGGTCATATAAGTGCCGAAGATTAGAGGTGTTACAAGAGAGTAACAAACACAAAAAAGAAGGAGGAGAGATAAAGACGATAGATGTTTGATAGGAAAGAAGAAGCAAACCACACCAGAGCCTCCGCCAACCACCCACCATGAATGGGCAAACTACCACCTACCTTGTCTCCTCGTGGAGAATTTTAAAAAATAAAATTATATCTTAAAAATTATAATAATGAAAACAATTCATCCTTCAAAGCCAGAGGATGAACAACGCATCTGCCGAGGAGAATATTTTTTAACTGTGCAAAGTACAAGAAATAAGGGTTAAGAGGACTCGTGGCTTCTGCTATGGCAGAATGAGACCAATTCTGGCAGATAAAAAGTTTGTGACATTTTGAGCATTTGTAATTAAATTTTAACACTTTGCGGTCACTTAGCGCAATAATGCGCCAGTGAAAATTATCCGCTCCGGTCAACTGGCGCAGTTCTGCACCAGGCCCGAGTAGTCCGTTGCAGTCACTCTCCTGGCTGGGTGACCAGATGGGGTATTTTGCGCTGCTAGCGGTGTGACTGCAAAGTGGTAAAAGTTTCATTTTCACTCATTGATGTACGCAGCCTTGTGGGCTTCTTTCTTGGTTTCAGCATTTATAATTCGTGAAGTCTCATATGACTTCCTGCCCAATGTGAATGCTGCTCTCAAACTAAGTCTGTCAGAATGTCAGCGGCAAGGCTCTCCCGTGTCGTAGAATTTATGGTGAAATCCTTCAGACACATTTGCAGGGTGTCTTTGGTGGACAGCTCAGAATAGAATACTACCTTGAGGGTATAACACTGCAAACTAGCGCTGTAATGTCATCTTTACAGTCCTTTCCATAAGTGGAAATAAAACCTTTGAAATACTCAAAACATAAAAAAATTTTCTGCGCCTTAACCTCTTCGCTGCCACGCTCGTAGAATTTATGGGCCTGAACCGTGTAGTGCTGTGCCTATGGCCTGTAGAATTTATGGGACTGTGACAGAAGTTGTTTTGATACTAATTATAAGGGAAGTTACTGCTAAAATCTTGTAATTATTATTGAGGTAGATCTAATTTCCCTTTATGTTTACCTCCATTTTCCTCCCATTTGAAAGCATCAGACACAGATTTTAGCTCGAAGAGAAGATTACACCTAGATCTAACACATCTACCACACAAAAATGATTTACAGGCAGCAAATGCAGGTGGGCTTACATGTATATATATATGGATTGTACAAGTGTTTTATAAGGTAGGTAAAGCCTCCTATCGCTTCCTCTTTATCTGCAAACACTCACACAACATGTATTCCCCGTATTAGGTGTCAGTTTATCATTACTCGGATGTGTGTTGTTTATGTTGTTTGATGGTGCTGTTTTTGGGCATCATGTTACTAAATGTAACTTTTCTGCATCTATAATAGAAATGTGTTTCACTATAGAATGTACATGCAGAAATTCATGAGGAAAAAATATTCATAAATGAAAAAGTTATGGGAGGTAGAGTGGGGTCACCCCTGAGCAGCCTTGGTTCATGGGATTTCCCCGGCACAAGGGCCTATTTACCTGCGGCATTGAAGGGGTTAATTGGTATTAATGGACACAGCAGAAGCCACAGGTCATCTTAATCTTTATTTCTTCTATTTCCATAAAGAAATATTCTCCTCGGCAGAGGCATTGGTCATCGACAGACATTGACGGACGAGCCATTATTATCCCTGTCCTTACCACTGACACATCATCAGGAAGCTTTGACTCTATAGCAGTTTTGATGAGCCAAGTAAGGGTGTAGGCTGCCACAGCAATGCGGTAAACCAGGAAAAAGATACCAGGTGAACGCCACTGTGGAAAAGAAAGTTTACTTAGTTTTAGAAATAGTTTTACGGCACTTGTAACACAATAAGGTCATAGAAGTGCCGAAGAGGTGTTACTAGAGAGTAACAAACACAAAAATAGAAGGAGGGGAAATAAATAAGATAGATTTTTTTATAGGAAAGAAGGAGCAAACAACGCCAGAGCACCCGGCAAACACCAGCTTACTGAGATATGCTACGGGTTTAACAGCCCTTTAAGCACTGTAATGTTTTTAAGAGATAGGGCCTTTGAATTAACGAAGACAACCTCTGAATTAAAACCGTGTGCCCACTGGTGATGGGATCGGCTCAGGTCGATAACCCGACTCGTCGCCCGAAAACAAATGCCTTAAACAAATGCATTTGTTTTTGAGGAGACGAGTCGGGCGCGATCGGCTTGTGCCATGACAGCAGCTTTGAGCTCTAAATCTGGCTAGCAAATCAACTTGACCCAACCCGATCCCCCAATGGACACCCAATATTACGAAGATAGGACCTCTGAATTAACAGAGATAGGACCTCTGAATTAACGGAGATGGGACCTCTGAATTAACGGAGATGGGACATCTGAATTAACAGAGATGGGACATCTGAATTAACAGAGATGGGACCTCTGAATTAACGGAGATGGGACCTCTAAAATAACATCCGTCTCTAACCTCTGAATAAACGTCCATCTCTGACAAGGCTGAGACAAATGGGAGGAAATCTGTGAAAGCCTCCCTGGAAAATCCAGTTTCTAGAACACAAGTGATTCGAACCAAGATCATTTCCATCACAGCTAAGTAAGATACCAAGAGAGCATCCCTTTTTGCTCCTACAAATCAAGTCCGGCAAGAAGGTGAGTTATACTCATCTGCCAAGTTCAATCCCATCTCATCATGAAATAACTGACCCGAAAGCAATTATACTCTCTGTATTCCCCTATAACAACATGACTGTGCGTATAATATGGGGGGGGGGGAGGTGGAAGTACTTTGACTACAAAATTGGCTTATATTTTTTAGTTTTAGTTTTAGTAAGAGTTTTACGGCACTTGCAACACAATAAGGTAATATATAAGTGCCGAAGATTAGAAGTGGTGGTACAAGAGAGTAACAAACATAAAAAATAAGGAGAGATCAGGATGATAGATGTTTGATAGGAAAGAAGGAGCAAACCACAACAGAACACCCGCCAACCACCAGCGCTTATTTTCTAAAGATTGGGTGTACAATACTAAGTGAAACCAAGTGCTGGTTGGGCATCAAAACGTGTTGTCCAAGATAAGAATGGCTTATTAGTTTAGTTTTAGTAGAGGTTTTACGGCGCTCGCAACTGCATAAGGTCATATGAACACCAGAAGATTAGAGGTGTTACAAGAGAGTAACAAACACAAAAAAGAATAAGGGGAGATAAGGACGATAGATGTTCGATAGGAAAGAAGGAGCAAACCACACCACAGCACCCGCCAACCACCCACAATTGCTTATTGCATTGAGTGAGATTGATAGAATCAGTGAGACAGGGGAAGCGGATAACCCAGGAAGATGCCGCGAGGTGTTGTAAAATCATTCATATTTTCAACTGTTCAATGAAAGATACCATTCGTCACTACTATCCTTTAGTTTAGCTTTAGTAAGTGTTTTACGGCACTTGCAACACAATAAGGTCATATAAGTGCCGATGATTTGAGGCGTTACAAGAGAGTAACAAACACAAGAAAGGAGGAAGAGAGGGAAGAACGATAGTTTTTGATAGGAAAGAAGGAGCAAACCACACCAGAGCACCTGCCAACCACATACTCACTACTATCCCTTTGTGAACTTGTTTTCAAGTGAAACTAGTTCATGCTGTGAAAAAGTATGGCAAACGAAAACGATCGAGAGAAAGAAAAGAAGTACATGTAGGATCTACCAGTCCGGGTCCTCTATCTCCCACATGGACACATAGACAGTTTGGGTTGTTTTTTGGGGGGGGGTTTTTTGGGGGGGTGGAGGGACATGGTTCACATTTTACAATAATTCTATAGAACTATATATATAAGGAATATGTTACGGATTGATATACGTCAGTCCATCTCTAGAGTCAAAAGTTCACTTTTAAGGACAAGCGGGCTAACCCAGATTTCGGGGCTGTCCAGAAATCTCGACCTACACCAAAAGTGGGCATTGCCCCTACCTATAAGAGACGTTTGGTTTCATTGGTGCGTATATTTGTTTAGTTATAGAGTTGCTGTTATCGATCCAGCAACAGCTGGGCTCTCACCCTTCTGTCCAATGCCATGTACTGATAAGTGCAGGTCTGCTGCAGTTGCTGTAATGTTCCATAGAGTGTGTTGTCTATGTCAGGTCTCGGAGGGAGAAGGGTTACAGAGAAAACTCCCCTTATCTTTTAAAGAAACTGAACAAGAGGCCAAAACTTTACTTTCGATTTTCTTAAAACAGCATTTTTCGGGATAGCCCTTTTGTGCTTAAAAGTGACCAAATATGACAAAAATATAATACAATTCACCTGAAACACACAGAATCTCTCCGTCCGCAGTTCATTACACCACAATTTCTTGAGGCGAAACTCCTCTCGGATACCCATAGCAACTGGAGAATACAATAATATAGATTTATATAATAATAATAATGAATTACATTTATATAGCGCTCAACTCCGATTAAAGTACACAGGCTCTGAGCGCTTTACAATACAGTACAACGTACAACAGTAACAAAAAAGTTTGAGTTATGACTAAAAGAAAATCACTCCAAATATTCATCTTATTAATTTTAAAACAGAAACGACTTCAGCTGACATTTGAATTAATCAAAAGATTTGATCGCTTTTAAAGTACTTGGTAAAGCATTCCAGATCTTGGGGCCTTGGTATTCAAATGTACAAACATTCTCATCTTTGAAAATAGCTTGTAAAGCAACTGGAGGCTTATACCTCTGTATGGGTTGAGAAAGAAAGTGATCGGGGCAGGGAGGATGATGGAAGAGAAAAAGAGAAAGAGATACTGGTGAAAGGGGAGGGAGAAAGGGAGATAGAGAGAAAGAGGGAGAGATAGAAAGAGAGAGAAAGAAACAAAATAGAGAAAGAGAGAGAGAGAGAGAGAGAGAGAGAGAGAGAGAGAGAGAGAGAGAGAAAGAGACAGCGAGAGATTGTGAGAAAGAAAGAGAAACAGAGGGGAGAGAGAAAGAGAAATGAAAGGAGACAGAGAGAGATTGTGAGAAAGAGAGAGAAAAGAAAAGCATTGACAGAAGAGGACAAGAAGTATGACAACTGCACACAACAAACTGACGGATAAACATGAATGATAACAATAATTAATAGTTATAACAATAATGGGAATTTATTTATATCGCATAGCTCCTAATCCCTAGAAGGCTCTGGGTGCTGTAAAATGCAGAATTAAAATGACAAATCAAAAGACAGAAAATGCACATTATGAGACCATTTAGCAACAACACACACACAGACACACATACACACGCACACACACACACGCACACACGCACACACTCACCAACTCACACATACACATTATACAAACACAACTTCAACACATACACATAAACACACACACACTCACCAACTCACACACATACACACTTTACACACATGACTCTAAGCACCACACATATTATCAAAAACGTAATTGACCGGCAGAGGACAGTGTTGAAATAAACATATGACAATGAGTCACCAGCAGGTGGCCACAATAACATTATATTAACCCTATCCATACACTCTGGGGCCATTTTTGTACCCCCAGGGTTGTGTTCTTCACATTTTAAAATACTCCCAGTTCGAAGATCTCTTTGAAATTTTCAGTATTATCAAAAAAATCATTTTGACAGACTGCTATTCAAAGCGTATGGATCGGATTAACGAGTAAATTTCCTCTTTGGAAAGTGGTGGCACAGAGTTCCCCAGGTCGTATAGATATGACGGTAAAACACGACATACAGATAGGGTTAATCACACCCATCATGTGTACTCCAGAACAAGGGTGTTTGCCAAAATGGCTGAGTGGTCATGTCGACAATTACCCACATAATAGGTTAACTGTGTTGGATTTAGTGACCAAATTTATTCTAGGTGACCATCCTCTGCTTAGTTTAGTTTTGGAAAGTGTTTTACGGCACTTGCAACAAAATAAGGTTACATTTAAGTGCCGAAGATTAGAGGTGTTACAATAGCGTAACAAACACAAAAAAGAAGGAGGGAAGATAAAGACAATAGATGTTTGATAGGAAAGAGAAGCAAACCACACAAGAGCACCCGTCAACCACCCAGGACCATCCTCTGTCAGAAAAACGAACCGGTAATAAAGAAAGCATTGAACCCAGACTCAGTAGAGAATGTCCTCCTTACATTTCATTATCGTGAAAAATGTTGCTTGCGTCTCATAAAAGCAGGATAAAAAAAGACAGCTATAAATAGGTCAGTTCAGAAGCAAGGTCTCACAGTGCGGGGGTTACGGGTGTCTGATTCTTCGGCCAGCAGATCTGAACTCTTAGCCAACAAACTGATAAGAAAAAGACATGGACCGAAGTCTGAGTTGCAGCGGTTAGATTTCTTTGCTGTTGCATGCAAAAGACTCGAGTTCATTTCGCCTGAGGGGAGAATTTTTATCTAGTATCTCTTTCTTTTTGCTTGGATGTTGTATCCCTTTTAGTTTTAGAAAGAGTTTAACGGCACTTGCAACACAATAAGGTCAATATAAGTGCCAAAGATTAGAGGTGTTACAAGGGAGTAACAAACTCAAAAAAGAAGGAGGAGAGATCAAGAAGATAGATGTTCGATAGGAAAGAAGGAGCAAACCACACAAGAGCACCTGCCAACCACCCTCTCAGAAAGGGGGCTTAGAAAAGAAAACTCTAACCAAGACAGATGTATTTGGCCAGTGACACATACAAAACAAGGCATCACATCACAGGAATGACAAAGGGTCTCTCTCTCTCTCTGTCTCTCTCTCTCTGTCTCTCTCTCTCTCTCTGTGTCTCTCCTGGCCCTGTGGCGTCACATACAGGTAGGGTCCAACTCCACCCCCTGAATGATCTAAATTGTGTCAAAAGGCGCATAAAAAGACCTACATTAAAAAGAAAAATAGAAGACGAGGAAAGCACAGACAAATCATGCCCCCCCCCCCCCCCCCCCCCCCCCGGGCCAAGACAAACGCTGACAGTAGATTAGCAGAGTATTCATATTCTCCCTATAAGCTTGATGTTAAAAAAAAGTTTCGAAAGACATTTCATCAAGGACAAGACCAAAAGTTACAAACAAAACTGAACTACATTTCTTAAACAAAGAAAAATTTTCACATAATATTGACTAATTAGGATGTAACTGTCGGCAAGATGTCAAACTGTTCCAAACCCAGAAAGGAAGATTTTCCAGGAGAGTAAAAAAAAAAACTGTTTCATTTTTGTAACAATTGTACCAACGTATCTTTTCTCGCATTTTTTTCAATGTCTGGAATTTCAATTTCGGCAAAATATTTCCGGAGCACATGCAATCGATATTTTAGATTTTAAAAAACTAATAAATTTTAAAAAAATTAATTTTTGGCCAAGTATAGGTCTATCTGAACAGCTAACTGACAAAATAAACTTTGTATATTATAACCAGGGTGTATAGGTACTCACAGCCTTAGTCTGACAGTTCAGCGGGTATGTCGACTTCTGTCTCCTCCTCCTCTCGTCTGCCCCACAACCACTCTTATTCACAGAGACGAAATTTCTAATTTGCTACGAACTAAAACACTCTCTTGACCTCGTTCCTTTCTTTGACGATTTCCTCTTGTCTGCTCACAGGCCTCTTCTCTCTTCAGTCCTCCACATGTAACTGTAAAACAATAATCTCAGATGTATGTCCAAGTTTTGAATAAAAATGAATGGATAATTAAACAAATATATATGTGCTTCAAGCTTGTATGGGACAGAGCGCTGTATAAATGCAATTCATTTTTGTTATTAAAATAATAATAATTATATTATAATTATTATTTCCTTGATTCTATATTTAGAGAATTAATTTTACTTCCTTCAGAAGATTTGTCTACGCACGCATTTATACAACTCTCTGCCTGACGAGATGAACAACGATTATTGTTTCTGTTCCTCGTTCTGTTCAAGCTCAACACACGACTGGGCTGCAACATGTCATGCTTGTCGACAGAGGAGGGCATGCGGACAAGATACAATCTTGGAGAGGTCTTATCATATCCCAAGATTTACCAGGCTCTCTTAGCCGCACTTGACACCATTGACCTCTCGAAGTTACGACGGAGAGACACAGCACTCAACCACCACCCACACTCGACCACCCCCCCCTCACTCATCCACACCAAGTGGTTTTCTGACCTGAAGAAGGAAATTTGCCCCTCCATGAATGACATAACTCCACTTTTAGTGAGAACTGAGTTACTTAACACACAACACAGTGCGGATCGACACAAATGCCCTGCACACTGTGTCAAAGGCTTTCCTTGAGACAATCAGACCCATATTTTTTTTCCCCATTTGATACTTATCAAATAAGGTGTGAGACATTTTAGCTGTAAGAGTATGAATTTTTTAATACCATTTTCTCAAAATTATGCATCATGGAGTTAGAAATCCTGTTATTCTAAAAGCCAACGGAGAAGATTGTCACACGAGACTGGAGAAGCACCAGAACATGGGAACAAATAATGAGTTACGTTTTAGTAAGCGTTTTACGGTTCTTACAATACAATAAGGTCATAAAAGTGCTGAAGATTAGACAAGGCAGTAACACACATAAAAAAAGAAGAAGCAGAGATATAAAGACGATAGTTGCTTGATAGGAGATAAGGAGCGAACCACACTAGAGCACTCGTCAACCACCCACAATAATGAGTTTGACGTCATTTTGTTTTTTGGCTTTTGTGTTTGAGTCATTTAGTCCTCTAAGACCTTTAAACGATGCTGTGATAAACATTCAATGAATGTTTGATATAAAAAATAGATAAAAGTTTCAGACAATGTATGAAATCTGTAAAATAAAGCTATTGCACCATTGATAAAAAGTATTAAGTCTTTAAAGGACAAGAAAAAAAGTAAACAATAGCTAATTGCCAGTACTCAGCTGATGTGACGTTCCTTGCTGTGTCCCCTATTCTGACCCCCACCCCTCTCCCAACCTCCATACAAAGATGAGATGTGGGGTGAATATGAAGGCAGCAGGACACACCTTCTACTTTTTACACTGTTGCTTGACAGACCTATTCTGAAGCTATTTTTAAAATGCTACTTGACCCAGGCTTCATATTCAATAGGTCATGAACATGCAAAAACAAAAAGAGAGAAAAGTGTTATTTATAGACAATCTTTTTTTACATGAGCACACATCAAAGGAGACTGATGTTATTACAATTTGATGTTTACTTTTTCCAAAAATACTTTTTCCTTAAATCTTATACTAAAATACACATTATGAATGGAGTAAGAATTGACAGTTTGTATGTGAAACAGAGAAAAATTAAATATTACTCTGCTCTATATTCCCTTCAAATAAATTTTTTTGGAATTGATTGTGAGTATGGACGCCCAGATACTAATTCGGAAGGAAAAGGTCTAGTACTGACATTTAAAGACACCAGGCCATTACGACAAGTGAAAATAAAATTTGTCTGTCAACTCTTTGCTAGTCATTAGGCAATTCTCCAAGATTGAAAGTCTTGGCAGAAAATAAAAACAAAGCAAATCTGAGTAAAAAATGTTACCAGATCTCTCTATTTTAGTTTTAGATGGCACTTGCAACACAATAAGGTCACATAAGTGCTGAAAAATAGATGTGTCACAAGAGATTAGCATTAAAAAAAGGAGGAGAGACAAGGACAATAGATGTTTGATAGGAGGAAAGAAGGAGCAAACCACACCAGAGCACCCGTTAACCACCCACATCTCTCAAGATCACTCTATACATTCTCACATACTTTACAAATCAAAACAAAAGAAGACAGAAAGAGAAAGAGAGAGAGAGAGAGAGAGAGAGAGAGAGAGAGAGAGAGAGAGAGAGAGAGAGAGAGAGAGAGAGAGAGAGAGAGAGAGAGAGAGAGAGAGAGAGAGAGAGAGAGAGAGAGAGAGAGGGAGAGGGAGAAGGTGAGAGGGAGAGGGAGAGGGAGAGGGAGAGGTCTGAGAACTTCATTATTCTCTTATGACAAAGAAATTCGCAAGATCAGCACCCCCTACTTTGACTAAATATATGTAATATATATTAAATATGAACAATTTTATGAGCTGGCTAGCATATTAGCATTCTGCCAGTGAGGATTTATCTACCTAGAAGGCACATCACACCCTTTCTTGAAGCTACATTCCCCGATATGAATCCCAAATTGACCATGAAGCACTGTACGCTGACCTAGCATCTCTATGGCTTTATTGTCATTATAGTCTCATAGTACTCATACTAGAGTATGATAAATGAGAAATGTACCATAATTGACACTATAATGGCATGGGCTCTTGTGGTCTAGAGGTGTGTACATCTCTCAGAAGAAAAAGTCCTGGGCAGCAGGGCTGAAGGTTGACTTGGTACTTTGTTTCTTTATACGTTTTACGGCGCTCGCAAACTAGGTCACATGAGCACGTGGGACACAAAAAAATTTTCAGTCGGTACGAAATTTTGAATTTTGCCCGGTTGGCGGCCAAAGCCTACCCTTATTTTATTGATTTTGGACAAACAAGGGATCTCTAACGTGCCCAACTTGCACATATGGGACCTCCGAGTCTTTTCGCCCTTGTCCAAGAAGGCTATGTTAGATTTTCCTACCAGAAGATCAGGGATGTGGCTGAGAAACAGCAGTAAGAAGGAGCCAAGGAGTAGTGCTCAGTGCAGAAAGAGTCAGGAGCCCAGAGGAGGGGGCAAAGGAGGTGAGGGTGTGGGGGCATAAAGTGGAGACGAAAGCAGACAACAGAACATTGCTAGAGAGCGGGAAAGGAGGTGAAAGGAGACAATGTTAGAGAAGAATATTTTTCCGTCCCTATCTGGATTCGTCATTGTTTGTATTCACATGTTTTGATTTAATGACCCAATCCCTACCCTCCCTTACCCCAAACCCGAACCTAAACCCTAACACAAACCCTCCATTCTACTCTGTTTCATAGTGGTCGCTTGTTACGGAATTCCTCCCATTATTCATTATAATAAAACCGAATTTTTGTTTTTTGGCTTACACCATTGTTGTCCAATTAAGACTAAGACACATTACTGGGTTGATTTTACTGAAAAACGTTGATTAAAGGCAATAAAAAAATAATATCAGTTTTCAGTTTCCACCGACTATCAAGGTATGGAAATAAACAGACTTTGGCGGCATTCTATCTTTGAAACCAGGCGACCCCCACATTCTTCAATCTCAAATATTTCAACTTCTATTCAAGATAGATGGGTATTTGTAATATAATTTTATTTCACTGAAGACAACTGAACAAGCTTTAAGATGATACCATACCAGTCAATAACTCCACATGGCAGAAAATTGACGAGCACCTGATTCCACAGCATCGTGGCACATATTAGGTGCCTAGATCTCTCTCTTTCTCTCTCTCTCTCTATATATATAGTTTAAAAAATCAGTCTCGGTTTTCAGTCCAGATTGTTATACAGGGTGCACCACTGCAGCTGGATCAGGCCACTGCGCACCGGCAGTGGAATTTTAGTTGCCGCGGGGGGTTCCCCGCCGGGCACCTTATCACGTCGGGGTCACGGGGGTCAGCTCCCTGTCGCCGCTCTGTCTGGGCCGACTTAATTTTTGGTACTTTTCAACGTACAATTTAAGGTGTATCCTTGTATTTATGGTAATTCTCATTTAGTGCACCCAAAGCACGCATTTCTGCTCTTGAGACTAAAAAAAAGAACGGACTTTGTAACTTGTCTGGTTATTTCGTTAGACGCGCTGGAGTCGGCAATGCTAAATTGTAATTTTTTTGGGACTAGCGTGAATGAAAAAAAATCAATATAAAAAAAACGCATTGTCAAAATCTGTCGAACTTTTGGAATATGAACGACATAACATAAGTGCAGATACTCAGAAAAGATGGTATCTGCACTTATAATAGAAGGCTGTAATTTTGCAATTTTATCCATCGGGCACACAATTCGCTACGAAGTAATTCCTCCAAATACAACTTTATGTGTCTAATATAATCATGAATATTCGCATATTTTCTCGAAAGTTTATAAAAGTTATCATGAAGTTTCTCAATGAAAAGTAAAAATCGATTTTAGTGCTAGAATATATCTTCAACGTAGATCTAATACACGAACAGTATCTGTTACACTCCAGAAATTGCTTACTTTTCTTAAAACGCTAAGTCTAGGTTTTGTAAGTTGACTGAATAATAAGGATGACTTCTCGTAATTGGGTTATAAGAATAATTTCTAGCTTTCCAGGGACACTGAATCAGCACCAGACTTTTCCAGCTTTTTTTACGTTTCTATGACCATTTGCAATAACTGACAATGTGACTGATTTCTTTACATTCATAATTGTGTCCGCGCATATTTCCTGCACAAAAACTAAGAATGAATGTTTTAGCTGTCATTATTTTTATTCCATACTAGAAGTTTATCTCTACCCATGTATTTACACGGTTTTGTGGTTTTTTAAATCGTTTATATTATATCTTTTTAGTTGTATGCAGACTGCCACAGACACAGCATGATTCATGAACAAACACAGAGTAACTTTCTCTTGTTTAATAGTAAAATAAGAGCTCACACTGATCGTCTTTAGTTAAAATATGCAGATATGCATCTTTCTTCTCTTATAACTTGACTATTACTACTACCGCAGATTTAAGATTTCTTATGGTAAAAGACATGATATTCGTAGTCAGTTTAACACAGAATTTGGAGAGATCTGTCGTGCCTTTTTAAAAATAACAATCATTTATTCATAACTTTGTAACTAAAATAGGACAAATTGGGTACTCTACAAACACTTGTCTAGAACAAAAACTAAGGCACAGAAACTATCCATTCTAACGCAGAATAAATCTCAAGACATTGAGCTTTTAGTACATTCGCGTAATGGTTTGCTGTGTGGGATGGGGAAGAAGTTATATCGTTTTAAACATAGTCAAAAATGCGAACTTCCCGACCGACACCGGCAAAGTCGCCTCAGGGCTCATTAACCCCGTGACCCCGAGCCGGGGAGCTCCGGCGGGCTGCTGAGTCACGCGAACTAAAAGTAACAGAATCGGGCGAAAAGTGACGCCGTGAGGCAAATCGCCCGACTCGATCGCCTGAAACTGAAAACTTGAAACACGTTTGTTTTTGAGGCGATCGAGTCGGGCGATCAGCCAAGGGTGTAATTAAACTGATAGCTAAAGAAATTAGACAAATAGCATTATGAATCGCATCTTACACCATTTTTATGCCTTATTCACGCCCTTAAATAAACAAACAACGCCAAAAAATCTAAAGTTTGTAGCCGCTCCGGTTGTTATCTAGAATATCTAGATCTAGAAAAATCTAGATCTAGATCTAGATCTAGATACTTCGTTTTCTGTTTGAGTCATTTCCTGACAAAGGCAAATGTTTGCTTAGAGATGTGAACAAGCCTTACAGTTACTACGAAAAAAAAATGAGGCCCCCCTACTGCGGCCCTACACATTCAAAACAATGAATGAGAGTGAAACTGCAGCTTGATCTCGATCTAGATTCTAGACTTTTAACAAAAGTGATATATCTATTATTAGGCTACTCATTACAGTGTGGGAGCATTAGGCTAAATTAGTGTCAGTGTGACAGTCATCATGTGTGCTGTCAACTTGGCACAGTGGGGGGAGGAGACGAAGGCGAAAAGTAGGCTTCTAAAAAAACTGCGAGCATACGGAAATTACAGCGGCACAAGTATTCCAATAACAGCTTACCAAAAATGTTACCGTGTCATCTGTGAAATCCAATAGACTCAACAGCGTGAAATTACACAAAAGGGCAAGAAATTCTAGGCCTGTGAGCTTTTATGGCCTATGGTTGTCGACTTTGTGTTCTCTTGGACTCTTGGTCTTGGCTTCGTTGGATACTGAACTTTCCTTTGTTTTGGTTCCCAGATTGTTCCTTCTTTCAAATTACAGCGACTGAGCCCAATCAGGGCAAAATAAGTTCGTTGCTCTCTCTCTCTCTCTCTCTCTCTCTCTCTCTCTCTCTCTCTCTCTCTCTCTCTCTCTCTATCTATCTATCTATCTATCACCCCCCCCCTCTCTCTACCTCTGATATGCGGATGTTGTGATATTCCGAGGCAAACCGCGTAATTAGATCTATATCTCTGTTGTTTGCTGGAAATTTAATTTATTTCTCACGAGTCTATAGCAGACAAAACAATGAGGGAGTTTTACCTTGGACTTATAGCAGATTTTCAACAAAAGTTTTATTACAAGGATTTTATCGAAACTGTTTTATCATAGATATCTATTCTACAAACTTTTAAAACAATTTAAATCAATGGTCAGCCAGCCCACAACCCTACTTCCACCTCGAATCCCTGTTTGTGTGGTTATAAATAATAGGCTACAATTATTTCCCTGCACATCGTAAAAACATTGAATTTAGAATAGTAATGACAATTGCAGTAGACTAAGCTATAGCATAAATAACAAAGATCCTTCTCTACGAAAACGGATGCGACAAATTTAAAATAATATATATATATAGGCCTACTGTAGGACGTAAACACGTTCTCCCAAAAATTGTGGGACCTTGGGGGGGGGGGGGGGAGACAGACAGAAACAGGGAGAGATCTATATTGAGAGAGAGAGAGAGAGAGAGAGAGAGAGAGAGAGAGAGAGAGAGAGACAGAGAGACAGAGAGACAGAGAGACAGAGAGAGGGGGGGGGGGGTCATGGGGCTGAAAGATATAGTGAGGGGTGCAAACATGTTCCCCCTAAAATTATGGGACTAAAACATTAACAACAATCCAATTAATAAATGCCAATAAAAGTAGGTGCATGACATGATCATGACATGAATTTAAATCTAATTATCAAACAATAAAATTATGACAAAGCGACTATAGATTCAATTCAAAGACAAGGAATAGCGAAGATCTACTTACTTTTCACTTTTGCTTTGATTTATCTTTTGAAGTCCGTCGCCGCTGAACGTCGAGTGGCTATGCAATAATTTTTCTGTGGCAGACCAACTCTGCTGAGCTTTTAATTCCAATCGAAATGTGTCTACTAAAAGTAAAGAGTTTCCTTGACTCAGTCCCCCATTTGCAAATAAACGCACGCGGCCAATCTCTTCTTTTATAATCAGAGAGTACTATTGTCATTTAAAGGTGTGCTGCTGACACACATGGAAAAAAGCTGAAGATTATTCAACATTATCTTTCCGTCGACGGATAATACCTGACAGCTAGAGTACTTCCTACGATCACGAGCTTTGAACGCACCGAATTAACCCCTTCACTTCCTGGCCCGAGATTGTCTTGATCAAGCTCTTTGGTAGGATTAAAGAGCAGGGCTGGCAGTGAAAGGGTTAATGCCCTACAATTATTGCTGTTACTGTTTTGTATTGCTGGGTATGCTGCAAGGTCGAAAGTTCAATATATAGGCCAAATCTATGTTTCTCAAGGTGTGCATTGAAAAATTAATGCCAGGCTATATCAAAGCACCTTTTCTTCCTTTTTTTGTCAAAACTACCGCTGGCTTTGTAGCACAGTGGTCCCAGTTTTATCACGCGCTGTCATGGCAGGATTCCGGCAAGAGCAGGCTTATAACAGGCATATCCGAGCTCTAACTTTTATAGTGTAGGGCCTATAGCAAAAGGGAAATGAGTGCGTTTTTAGCAGGGATTCGGAATAGGCATGGTCTGCTATGAGTGTTTTCTTAAAAAGGGGG